AGAGGTATTAACACTTTCCTTTTTGTTAGGGCAAAAGATCCCAAGAGTTGCCTGTTCTTACCTTCCAAGTTATGGGCTATTTTTCCAAATAAATATTATCTATCAAAGTTACATTTATAAAGGTGTTTCTAAAAAGAAACAAATTTGTACCCATATGTACATCATCTAAATCTGACTGTCTCATCTATCATGTATATTCAGTTCTATATGCTTTGGACCACTGAAGGACTGTGGTCCAGGCCTTGCTCTGAGATTATTGGACATGTGAACCAGACAAGAGGGAGATCTTAACTTTCTGCTTACCCTTTTTCACTGAGCACCTCAAAAATGATATCAGCACTTGTCTCTATCCCCTACCTGTTCACTGGAGTAAAACTTGTTACACAAGTTTTACTAGGGAAATTCTCTGACTTACTAAGGTAGTTGGAAAAGAGAGTGTGGTCTCAGGGTAAATAACCTAGAGCTGCAGGAGACCCAGGACTGACGTGGAGTGAGTTTTCTGCAAAGCAGATGTGCTGGTGTCTTGATCTTTCACTGTGATCTGGCCCTGATTTTGCCTCAGAGAGAGGCTGTTAGGAGCTCTTCCAAGTTCCAACATAAGTTGTAAGAATTTGGACTTCCCAGATTCTTGTTTGTTTTTTACTCCTGGAGAGCTGCTAACTTCTAGGTGTGGATGCTACCATCTGACCTTCTATTTTGCTTCCTCATCTCCTGATAACTTTAACACATGGCCTGTCCGCATCCTGGTGTAGGCAGTCCTGAGATGAAGAGTCAACCATCTCCCATCAGATCTTGCAAAGTTTATAGGAGGTTCTGAGCCATGGTTTCTTCTGGAGTCAGTTTGGAGTGTTCATCTACCCTGGCAAAGGAAGAGGACTTTGAATGTGAAGAGGAAATAAGATTCTGTACTACAAAGGACATACTCTCTTTGAGCCACATGTTCCTTGCAAAGTATTGGACTGTAGGTATAGAGACACTGACCTTGGAGTCAGAGGAACTGGAATCGATGCTGAATGATAAGGTCTGACTTATAGACAGATAGGTAAAGAAACAAACTATACTTAGCATGATGAATGGGAAACAGTCCTCAGACCAGGCAAAACTGTCTGGGTTGTGGATAAAGGGGCCTTACTTTCTGACTTTGTAAAGGGTAATTCCTCTCCACAGGAGTGTTTAAGACTCAATGAAGTAATGCATTTGTAAGGACTAACATTCTAAAAACAGAAAGATATAAGCAGAAATTCTCAACTGTTTCTGCTTTTACTCTGTTCGTATGCAAGGTGTACTTATTCTATCTCTCAATAGTATAAGTGTCTCTTGAGGTATTGGACATATTTCCCTCATACTTCTAACTCTTGAATGTGGTTAGAAATCACTCTTAAGATTTTGATAGCTTGTCATCAGGAATAGTGTTTTCTTACTTTTGTCTTAAAAGCTATTAATCACAGAAGTGAGTAGAGAAGGGCCTTTCCATCTCCTCAGAATGTATCCTTGTGTGCTTTGGGTTCTGTGCACATTGCTAAGTACTACACACTTAGAAAGTCTCATTCAAAGAGGCAGAAAAGTGTTGGGGATAGCACCTTTTAGACTATAAAATATAGAATGGCCAGATGCAATCACTGAACATGTGACTTAAGGCAATCATTAATTCATTCTGTAAATATTTACCACACACTGTGGTAGGTGTTGAAAGATAAAAATATATAAAGTAAACATGGAGCTATGGGCAGAGACTAATTAAACAATCATAGCAATACATATATAATTAGAAACTGTGATCATTTCTATCTAGAAAAATTATGTTATACTGTATATAATAATCAAGGGGGTCCAGGAATATGTCATGAAGAAGTGACCATTGAATAGAGATTTGAAGTAGACAAAGAGGAAAGTAGACTTCTTGACAGAGGCCTCAAGAAAATGGAGAAAAGAAATATAAGAAGCCCCAGTGTGACTGAAGTGGAATGGTTGAGCAGGAAGAATAGTTCATTCTGGTGAGGTGGGCAGAGGTTAGATCAAAAACAAAAGAACAAGGAACAATGAAGAGAACAGCGGCAGCAGTACCAACACCAACAAAACCACATGGATTTTAGACTACTACAAACCTTAGGTTTGTACATTAGTTTTGTCACTTACCAGCTGAGGAACCTGATCAGTTTTAACCTCTTTTTCCTCAGCTACCTTAATGGTAAAAATAAATATCATTGGGTTACTGTGAAAATTATGTGTGTTTGTTCCTGGCACATGTTAGACATACTTGGTATAGTACTTCTAGATGTGTTGTGATCCTTCTGCATTTGTTAGCTGCTGGTCACCTGAGTTTTAAGCAAGGCCAAAAATATCAACACTGGTTTTGGAGATTCGCAGTCTGAAACCAAACAACAGTTTTAAAAAGGAGATAAAATTTTATGAGCACCTAGTAATTTTGACATAGTTCAGTTAAAAACCATTTTTGAGCACATACTTTGTACAAATGTAAAGTATTGCTTTGGCAGTATAAGAATGAGCCATGAAGCCAGTGATTAAATGGATAATTTTATAACAATAGTAAGGATGATCTAATATAGGCAAATTTAGCATGTATTTTGATGAAAGGTTATGGAGGGGAGAGTGTTATGACCAGTAATCCTTGAGTAAGGTGCCACAGAGAGAGAACGTAAGAATCTTCTGCAAAATGCTACTCAGAGAGTATTATTAACCAAGCCAGTCCTGGGCCTCAGCACTTGTGATCTTTGTGGAAGGACACCCTAGATGTTACTATGACTTCACAGTGTGGTTATCCTTGATCACCCAACTCTCAGATTTCTACACTGAAAACATACTCTTTTTCTTTCTCCATTTCCATGCTGTACCCTTTGCTAGAAAGTCGTTATGTGCAGATTACATTTGAGGAGTTGGAAGACAGAAGAGCTATGTTTTTACCTCCTTAAAAGCAGATTAGCTACATAAATTATTTGGAATTCTTTTGCATGGGAAATGGTCTATTCTCCACTATTTGTTTATTCAGTCATTTATTTACATCAGCCTGGACTCATGGATATTTATTTTATACTCTGGGTTATAATCCAATACTACTTTATTTATTTTATTGTTCAAATTGTTCTAACTTTGGCTACTTGGAGAACTTTCAGTTGGCTCCTGGGTCCCTTTGACATATTCCATATTTTTTGTGTGTACACTTTCTCAATTCTTAGCACTAAAACATACTTCAAGTTCATCTTGTATATTTCCTGATCTAGTTCTCGAATCAGTCATTTTTTCCAAGGAACCCTGGTTCCTTTTATTGGAGAATGGTATTAGAAACCAAGATCTGGGCAGTAAGTTTGCTCATTGTCACTGTGTACTCATTACCAGGATGTCATTGCTTTTGGAACCTCTTAGTTGATAGAGCAAGGAGTATATAGACATGTACATATACTAACCTGTACATATATAAATGTCAATAAATATTTCCGTATTTACTTACTACATGAAACTTTAGTAAGCTAAATATGAGTTCATTCTGATATGTCCATATCTAATTCATTATCACATGATCATTCTGAGGAAAATAAAAACCACATAATCCCACATATCACCCAGAGCTAATGAATCAGGATAAATATTGAACTTATATGTATTTTTCATTTTTAAGTTTATCTTTAAAAATTTTAACTTTGGTTTATCATATAATAATAATATGAGGGGTTTCATTGTGATAATTCTATACATGCATACAGTATACCTCAAACAAGTTCACCCTGTCCATTATATCCCCGTTCCCCTCCTCCTCGTCCCCCCACTTTCATACAGGCTTGTGGATTTCATTATGCTGTCTTCATATGCATACATGCAGCATACTTCCATCCTCCTCACTACTCAGCATCCTTTCTTTCCCCTCCCCCTCCCACCAATCCCCTGACGGTCCTCCATATATACATTCATGACCCATTATTATTATTATTACTACTACTAGTACTACTGTCACCATTTTAGGTCTAGCTTCCACAAATGAGTAATAACATGCACATTTGGCTTTTTGAAATTGGGTTATCTTGCTCAGCTTGGTGATCTCCAGCTCTATCCATTTTTCTGCAAAGGACTTTATTTATCTTTATGGCTGGAGTGTGGCTTCATGGTATATATACCATATTTTTAAAATCCATTGATCGGTTGTTGGGCACCAACAGTTTGACTATTGTGAGGAAAGCTGCAATAAGCATGAGTACACAGGTATTTCTCTTGTATATTGATTTATATGCCTTTGGATATATACCCAAGTGTGGTATGGTAGGGTCATAAGGTAGGTCTAGCTTTATTTTTTTGAGGAACCTCCATATTGATTTCTATAGTTGCTGCACTAATTTACATTCGTGCCAATAGTGTATGAGAGTTCATTTTTCCCTGCATCTTTGCCAGTATTTGTTGGCATTTGTTTGCTTGATGATGGCTAATCTGACTGGGGTAAGGTGGGATCTTAGTGTAGTTTTGATTTGCATTTTCTTTATGACTTAGGATGTTGAACATTGCTTCATACACTTATTAAGCATTTATACTTCTTCTGAAAACTGTTCATTTGCCATTTATTAATTGGATTATTTGAGCTTACATATTTTGAAAGGCAAACAAATTAAAATTATTGAATGTTTTTCTTGGTTTAACATTGGAATCAATATTGAAATTATGAAAACATCAGTTAACATCATAAATATGTTTTATTTGGCCATTATTCACCATAGGGTATTTACCTCACTAAAACATTGTTACCTGACTATAATTTTGTTGATTCAAATTCCATGAGTATACAGTCTAATTAGGATTTGAAAATTCTTGTATTAGGATGTTATTGAATGTACCATTTCACTCCCAAAGTCTATGATTTAAAGTTCTAAATATAGAAATAAACACTACAAGAACACAAAATTAGCTGTGAAAATTGTGCTTACTCATGTTGGTGGTGTCTGACTTACTTATCTCTTCTCCTTCTCTTTCTGTTTCTTTGAATTATTGGTGGGCTACAGGCTCCAGTTCCAACACCATCTTCCGAAATGATCCTGATTCCCAGAATGCCCCTGGTGCTGCTTCTGCTGCTGCCTATCTTGAGTTCTGCAAAAGCTCAGGTTAACCCAGGTAACACAGCCACTGTTCAGCTAGATGTTGGAAGACCAGCTGAATGTTTGAGCCCATCAATGCTCATTTTGGGAAAAGTCCTGCTGAGGGGTTCTAAAAGGTCACTTGTTTTATCTCCATGGCCAAACATAATGTAATATACTTTCTCTCCATATATAGCATGTTGAATATTGTGAAAGAGTTTCTAATACAGGGTAGGGTGGAGTTAAGTGCATTTTTTAATGGAAAGAAGAAGAAATAGCCATTTGCTTTTTCATTTTCTGGGAGATGAACTTTTAGATGACTTGGAGAACTTCTCTAGGTTAGTTTATCAGTTGTTTCTGACTGTATTAGGCCTGACTTTTACTTGGATGTCTTATTCTTTTGGGATACTGGTCCCATGGTATCTCAGACAGGCTATCTCTCCTATTGTGCACGACCATGCTGAAAATCGATGTGTGAGAGGAATCTTTTAAACCAAAAGTTTTTTATTTAGCGTTTTTCATCTTTAACCTGAAGTACATGATTATATCATTGGTCTATTTTATAATAATTCTACTTAACAACCTTTTCATAGCTCAGTGGCTTAAAACAAACATTTGTTTTGCTTATGAACTTATAGTTTGGTTGAACTACTGTCTGGTCTGTTTTGGTTTACTTGCATATTTTGAAGTCAGCTGGCTATTGGCTCATCTAGGATGGCCCTGGCTCAGATAAATGGGGCAACTTGACTGTGCTCTGCTTTATCATCCAGCAGACTTGCCTGAGTATAGTTTCATGGAAATTACATAGGAACAAGAGCAGAAGCAGGAATGTACAGCATTTTCTCAAGCCATTGTTCGAATCATATTTGCTAAGATATCATTGGTCAAAGTAAGTCATATGCCCATGCCCAGAGTCAGAGTGGAAGAAAATAAAAAATTTACATAGTACAAGGAAGATACAGGGATGAGTGAAGAATTCGAGCCCTTTTTTATTCTTACACAAATATAAGCCTAAAAGTTTACATATAGCTTCAATGTTCAATTTGATGAATTTTACAAATGAACACATTGTTTAAATAGTACCAGATCAGGAAACAGAACATTTTCATCAATTAAGAACACTTCTCATGCTCCCTTCCTGTTGCTTATCCCCACCTCACCCCAAAGGTAACCATTATACTGGTTTCTAGGAAGACAGATTGGTTTTGCCTGCTTTCTACTTTATATAAGTGGAGTCATATGATGTATAAGTACGCTGCCTGTTGTTTCTTTGACTCAATATTTTTATGATATTTATCTTTTTATTGCATGCAGTTGTTGACTGTCCATCTTCACTGTTGTATAATATGACTTTGAATATTTTATTTAGCCAGTCTGTTATTGATGGAAAATTAGTTAGTTTCCACTTAAGCCCATGATGAATAAGGCTCCTATATTCTTGTATAGAATTTGTGATAAAGATATATACTCAGTTTTCTGGGGTTTATATTTACAAATGGAATTTCTGGGTCATATGTAACATGTGATGTGTTTTTCTGCACAATGCCAAAGAGTTTTCCATCTCACAATATTATAAAGAATTTAGTTACTTAGCTATATTTAGAGAGCACTTTCATTTCATCCTTTTCATGGCATATGGGTAAATTTGTGAAAATGTTCACTTTCTCTTCACAAAAATTCCATGTTTATGGGCCATTTTTTATACCTGCAATAGGAAATTTGATACAAACTTCCTAAAAATCAAAGAATTATTGGTTGAATAAATTCAGCATCTTGATTCTTTTTTGTAGTAAGCTTAGCTAGTACATCTCTTCATTTTTCTGTTCTGTATTCCCCTCACCCAACGGCTGAGGTTTGGTTGCCTCCTCCTACATTTTCCTTGTGTTTAGCTCTAAGGAAAAGTGATGGGAATGCATAGAATAGTAGGATGTTTTGGTACTTAGCATGTTCACAGACACTGGCAGGCCATTTAGGCATTTAAATGATTAAACCAGGAGAATGAGTTAGCCTTCTGTGTTAGAATACATGCTGTTGTTCTGGAGAAAGGAATAGGCTATTTGAAGACAGAAAACAGTCATAGTAATCCCTCCCTCCTATTTCTGGTGTCGTATATTTCTGTTGATTCTTTCTGCCAGAGTAAAACAGATGGAGGTCTTGATTTGTAAAGATCTTTACAGGATCATGGAACATATCAAAGGGTTAATCCTTCTCTTGGCCACTTTTTCTATTTTACCAAGTTAACCCAAGTAAGAATTTGAGGAATATAAGAAATTTCCATTCATCATCAGTGTTAAAGAGTTTAGTCATGAAGCTTGGACTCATGGAGTTGTATTGCTTGCACATACATTGCTGGACATAGAGTAGGTAATATAAGGTTGATGTATAATAAACAGGTAGGTAAATAACATTGACTTAAGGACCACTCTATAGGAGTTCTTATTGATATTTGCTGAAAGACTGAGAGTACTGAAAAGTAGCAGAAGGTACTCAAAGACAGACTAAATTCTTGGCCAGTTAGATTGGTTACATGGTATAACAAATGGAACTTTAGTCCGGAGACTTCGATTATACTATACAGCATATTGTTAAAGTATTGGAATATATTTTAATTGATTCTTGAATATAAAATATTCATTAATAATAACTGTGCTAAACATTAGATTCAATTAATAATGTAAAATAAAACAAACCCATTAGTTTAAGCTCATTGTCAATGATTTCACAATGGCTACTGGTCAATGAACTTTCAGTAGCATGACTCAGTTGGCAGTAGACAGATTGAAATGTCAAAATATTAATCTAGAAAAATCAGCAGAAGGGCAGAACAGGTTCTGCCTAGAAGCGAGGTGGGGTGGGGGGGAGAGTTGACCCAAACAATGTACGTACATGTAAATAAATGAATAATAATAAAAAAGTCAGCAGACATCAAGACAAGATGAATAATCTTGTTGCTATTTCAAGAACTTCTCTACTGCTTGAGACTGTAAGTCTTACAGGTCTCATCCCATGCAGTGGTAGTGTGATATAGACAGCTGCCCAGGGCACAATGCATCTGAGCTTTGGCAAAGTACTGGGTAGGCAGGTGATACTAGTGGCATTTCCAGTAATGGCAGTGTTGAAAGTTTGAAAGTGGTCAGAGGAGGGTACAGCATAGGCTCTGAAGGTCTCCCTGGGAAATGCTGAGAGGCAGGTGTGTTTACCCAGTCCTGAGGTGTGCGCAGTGTGCTAGTTCTCTTTCAGCCTCAACCATGTACTAGAAATGTAAACTTAATGTCTGTCAGTCTGATGGAGAAGTTATTAGAAGGATTTGTGGCAACTTCATATGTCAAATCATAATTTGGGAGTATCATTTAGAGAATAGCATATATGTCAAACAAATAATTATGCTAACAACTTTTAAAAATCATTTCTACAAATCAGCATATAATTTGGATATGATTAGAAGAGTTTGATGAATGATTTGAAGTTCATTTAGAAAAATATTTAGCTTACTTATTAACAACTTACTCAACTTTAGTTATTATCCTTGTTGAAGAAATTATTATATATCTCTTTGTACTTCCTTAATCTTTTCACTTACAGTAAGATGAAGTTGAATTAGGTAACCTATGAAACCCTTTCTATTGCAAAATTGCTATGATTTTATGGTGTGGGAACCTTACTTCCCATACTAGATGATTTAATGGCTTCAAGCTTCAACCCTGAACTCTCATGGCAATTCTTTGTAGGAAAGGCCACTTGTCCCCAACTCCCTACCACCTACCAGGCTCAAGACCTGAAGTCTGAACTTCAGGGGAATCTTGCCATTCATACTAAGAATATAGGAGATGGCTGATGAATATTTTTTAAAAGAATTTAAGCCCTAAAATACCCCCTAGTGACAGGTTTGATATAGAAATCCCACTTAAGTGCAATCTGCATGAAATTCATAGTATGAGAAGCCAATATGTTCCCAGGAAACTTTTGCTCTAGAGGTGGAGCCAAGAAAAGGCATTTCAGGCAGAAGAAATAGCACAGGCATTGGCTAGGAGGAGGGAGAGGTATAGGTGTGGCTGCCTGGTAGAAGATGATGACTTAGAGATCTAGAGGGTCTGTTTTCCCATCTCCTTGTAGGGTCCTTGGGTCACCTTTCCTTTTATTTCCAACTTGGGCTGGGGATACTGGACTTGATAGGAGAGCTGAGGGTACCTCTTTGTGACAGTCATACACAAGAATACACTGGTCTTTTAGAGGTTATTTGTGTAGCCACCAAGGTTACCTTTCCCCAGAGGGTATAGAACCATTGTTTCAATGGCCAGTGGGGTCCCCATACCTTCTGCTTTTCCAGGTAGGAGAAAAAATAGAAGTAATCTGATTATCCCGAAAACTTAGAGTTAGGAGTTTGAGGTCTTGGGGACCAAATCAGCCAACCAGAAAGCTTCTGTGTATACAGAGCACAGGGACAGTTGGACTCATTCCTGACTTTGCCTGTAACAATTCTTGTGCGTGGGAAAGGGACAAAAAGGCAAACACGGCATTTAGGCACAAATCCAGGGAAGGACCTGTGCCACACCCATTTTCACACCACACTTTTCCCTCATTGGAAGCAGTAACTTGCTACACGTTCAGAGCCCTGGGGCATGGGGGTGGCTCCTTTGGTGTACAGAATGTTCCCACTTTGAAAGAAGTGGCAAAGACATTCAGGATTTGGAACCTGAAAAGGAGGAGCTGTTTTCCTCTTGGCCCCAAATTTATCATTGGGAAATTTTATTTTTTGCAGCATCAATTCCACACTCCAGTGAGTTCTTAAGGTCTAGGCAATTAAAGTTATTGACTATTCTTTATTTTACAAACAGAGGAGCTGGAGTCAAAGCATATGAGTGATTTGCCCATGATCATACAACTAGCTAATGGTTAAGTGGAGACAAAGACCCAGTGCTATATGTTCCCTAACACTAAGTTCATTCTGTCACATCACCTTACCCCTCAGGAAGTGACTTAAGGAAATGACCTTCCTCTAAAAATTCTGTATGCCTGGCAACCTCATGCTTGCCTTTC